ACAACATAAGAAGAGAACTAACCATGGGTCGAGAAGCGTTCGGTGAAATAATGAACGAGAATGGAGAACTGTTTACATAATTCTGTGGATTCAACGATTTGGTGATTGAAGGCACTGTGTTCAAGCACAAGGATATCCACAGAGAGACATGGATTTCACCAGACACCAGGACACACTAAAAATCAGATCAGCTTCATCTCAATCTGAAGAAAGTGGAGACACAGCCTACCTGACACAAGATGAAGAAGGGGAGTAGATGTAGATTAACTCCACTCACTATCTAGTGCAAGGAACCTTCCAAATCAAGTTAAAAGCCTTCAAAGTTCAGGTTCAACACCAAGAACAGAAATTGAAGGACGAAACTAGGAGGGACATCTTCACGTCAATCATCAAGACAAAATGGCAGATATCGAGCAACATCCCTGAAGAAACCTGTGAGGAATAACACTGGAACTCCTTGAAAGCTATATGGAAAGAAACCTGCATAACCGTATTAGGAAGGAAGAAGTAAGAAGATAAGGAATGGGTCTCGACGTGAACACGGGAGCTGATAGAGTAGAGAGAGAAGGATGGTGAAACAGAAGATGAACCAGTGCACGGATGAACAAAGAGAAGAGGAACTGAGTGCAACGTATAAAACACTAGACAAAGAAGTGAAGAAGACTGCGCGCAAAGACAAAAAACTCTTCTACGACACACTGGCAAGTGAAGTAGAACAAGCTGCTGGTAGGAAAGGCCTGACAACACTATATTAAATAACGAGGCTACTGTCTGCGAGGAGATCAACGCGGATTAAACCAATTAAAGATAGTGAAGGGAATTTAGTTAATGTTAAAGAGGAGAAACAAAGGAAACGATAGGTTGACCACTTCGAAAAACTCTTGAATCTACCACTACCTGCAACTCGTCCAGAAATACCACCAGCGACCATAGAATTACCAGTGGACACGAGACCTCCAACAAGAGCAAAAGTGAAGTCCTGAACGCCATAAAGTTGCTGACATCCGAGAAAGCAGCAGGACCAGATGGAGTTCTGCCAGAAGCACTGAAAACAGACGCAGAAACAACAGCGGACATGTTCACACCACTACTGCAGAAGGTCTGGAAGGAAGGAAAGGTACATGGCGATTGGAAGAAGGGCTACCTTGTCAAACTTCCAAGGAATGGAGTCCGAAGTCTCTGCAAGAACTGGTGCGGAATCACGCTCCTGTCCACCCCAAGCAAAATATTAAGCCGCATCATTCTGGACAGACTAAAGGATGTTCTAAATTCAAAACAGGCTGGCTGGCTTCAAGAAAAACAAAGCATGTGTGGACCGAATTGCAACGCAACACTACGCATCATCATAGAACAGAGTATAGAATGGCAGTCAACTCTTTACCTCAACTTCATCGGCTTTGAAAAGGCCTTCGGTAGCGTCAACCGAGAAGCAATTTGGCAGCCGCTTCAACACTATGGTTTTAGTGCCACAAACCTTTATCAATCTCATTCAACACCTATATGACTGCACCACATACCGAGTGATTAACAATAGAAAGCTCAGTGAAGCCTTTGAAGTGAAGACAGGAATAAGACAAGGCTGTCTATCATCACCCATGATATTCTTGATTGTTGTGGACTGGATTATGCAACAAACAGTGAGGAGCGAGAAGAGGGGCATATGCTGTTTGATCTGTGAAAAGAGCCCAGAAGATTTGGATTTCGCCGATGACTTGTGTCTAGTGTCACACAAACTCGAAGATGTACACGCGAAAACTAACAAGTTGACAGAAGAGGTGAGGCAGCGAAAACAGGACTTCCTTCAGATGGACGTATAGAAGATGGAGGTGATGATGATATCCAACCAATGCCACCACCACCACCACCACAACAACACAAGGTTCAGTGACTATCAACGGAGAAACTTAAAGGAAGTAGTCTCCTTCACCTATCTAGGCAGCATCGTTCAACTATTGTAGGCAAAGGCACAGACGAAGACGTCAAAGTCAGTCAGGATTGGAAAGACAGCAAGACAGGCGTTCGCTAACCTGAAACCAGTGTGGAGATCTACTGCACTGAACTGCACTCCACTCAGCATAGAGCGTGAACAACATTCGGATTTTCAACACCAAGTCAGTCAAGTAAGTCAGTGCTTCTATGTGATGATTGAGAGACCTGGAGCGTTACGAAAAACAATTGCAACAAACTACAGATATTCATCAACAGCTGCCGCCTACACTCACTCGATACTGGAGATCAGATGAGATGAGATGGCCAGAATAATAAGAATAGGCAAGGAGGAACTGTGGCTGGCTGGCTGGCTGGCAACGAACCAACGAAGCAAGAACCTATCGCTGAACAAATATGCTCTGGAAGGAAGTGAAGATCGATTGGACTAGGCATACATTGAGAAGACTATTCAGGGACATGACGCGCCAGACACTCGAGTGGGACGTAGATGGGAAACGGTGAGTTGGGCGTCCGAGGTGAGGGTGACATAGAGGATATTGTGTGAGGAAGAAATGAGAGCTTGTGGGCAGTCATGGAGTCAGGTTGAAAAGACTGCAGAGAACAGATTGGAATGGAGACTTGTTATTGAATCCCTATGTTCCGCTGGGAACCCAAGGGACAAATAATAATAATAATAATAATAATAATAATAATAATAATAATAAAGGTTCTCTTTTTTTGGTACTATATGTTGGTAGTGAAATGGTCAATTTTCAATGCTTTTGTTTCATAATGTCCACCCTAATGTAAGAAAGGGCGTCATGGATACACTCATTACTAATAAAAGGATTAGTAGTCTGTTAAGAGAATTCTGCTTCTGAACTTAGACTGACATTAGGACAAATGTTCTTGATTCAGGTATCATATGAAGTTGTTGGTGCAATGAAACCTACTGTAGTATGAATGCAGTTACCAGACAAATGTTTCATGCTTAAAGACATGCGTGAAGCCAGTTCATCTCAGAAATGCTCAACAGAGGATAATTGTACCCTAAAACTGCATCAGAACTAAGTCTACATTATTTAGAAACTGGTAGGTTATCAAGTCTATTTGTTAAAAAAAATTTACAAAAAAAGATTTTTTTTTTCTCGTTTTTTCCCCATTATATTAAATGACCACAATTTGTTGAATTTTATAGAGTAATATTATGTTCAAAAATCTTGGTTTAATGGAAATTCATTGCTCCCAAGTGATTTGTTTACTTAAGGCAGTTTACGTATATATAGACTATTACCGTTTTAATCGTCTCTCATATTCAATACCTTCTACTCCGAAACCATCCCCACCCATTAACCCGAAGAACAAACTTCTTCTCACAGGCAAACATAACAAACAGACATATGCAGCCAGTATATAATACTGTCTTCATTGTGTATGTAGACATGTGAATCGAGTCTACTGAACTCCTTATTACGATTATTATTATTATTATACAGTTTTGTCAATGTGTTGTAGACCAGTGGGATGGTGGACTGGGATAGCAGGGGAAATAAGCCCTTTCCTTTCTTTCTCCCTTTTTGTCATTCTGCCTTCTAGTTAAAACTGCTTTCTGTAATTAGTTATTTTTATTTTTCGCCCCACTAATTTCGTCCTTTTTACCAAGTATAAAAATAATATTATTAAAAGCAATGATCACAGACAACGGTCCCTTTTGCTTTCTGCCGTTGTTTTCTTTTTTTCTCTTGATAGGGTTTTTGTATGTTTACTTATTTATTTACTTATCTGTAAGAGATATTTTATGTCAGGTCATACATCTATATATATATAACCAACTCAGTGTGATATGTTGTTGTTCTTTTTCCTGGTCACCTTCACGCCACCGCCACTGTATCTGTTAGTCTTACCTCACCCTATGCAACCCTAACCCTCTTCCCCTCAACATAAAACCGTTTCACATGTTTCACGCACACCTTACCGAGTTGTTTTATTTCAATGTTTTTCACTGATTTTCTTGTCAGTGAAAAAAAGATAACATTTTTATACAGATAAAGTTCAGCTTGAACTAATTATCTTGGTAAAGATAACAAATACTTATCATGTGAATGAAATATAGATAACGCGTTTAATTGAAGGGCCATCGGGAAGAGAATTAGTTATATAATATGTGATTAATTTACAATTTTATTTTGTAGTATTTTCCGTTTGTTTTTCTTCCTCTTCTCCTTTATATTTTACCTTATCAATGGATGTAAGCAATAGCCTGACATTTAATTGTTTATGTACCCGTTTCTTTGTGTATAATCACGGTCAAGATATTTTACCTTAAAATTAGGAATAAATTAAGCTTTGGTTTGGCTTTATTTTACAAATACCAAACAACACCTGATACCCGTTGAACAACAGGTGGCTCCGTTGCTCCAGTGGCCTAGTGGACAACACCTTGGTATTTGAAGCAGTGGGTACTGGGCTGGTGTCTCTGTGGGAGGAACATCGCTCACTGAGGTGCAGGTACATCCAGCTGGCTAGTCCAAAATAGGACGAAATATGCGTCCTGGTTTCCTCTGCTAGCCACCGATTTTGAGTTTCCTCAGAAACGTACATCTAGGAACGTATCTGGGATGGGGCCACGAACCTACAGGTCCTTGAATGAATATATTACTATTCAGTCGTTTCTCAATGAATCTTTCAATTGGATAAAAAAATCTTATACTTCCTAGTGACTTGCTTCATGACATGCTGTGACATGTGGTGTCAATCAAGTTGCATTTGAGAGTAAATACTTGACCATGGCATTGGACTATAGTTGTAGTTGTATTGTATCATGTGATGAAAGAAGCCGGAAAGTGTAAATCGCTGAAATTAAATCCACTGATTGAATTGTGATGTGATCTTAGTGAGATGCAATGGTTCTGGTTTGATCGCACATGACGTCATGGGAGTGTATTTCTGAACAGTTTCGAATAGAGATGAAACAGCTTTCTAGTACTCCCAGATATCAGTGATACTGAACTATTTTGAATATTTTAAGCATTCAACAAAATCTGTGAATCTTTGAAGAAGCAATAAGATTTTCACAGCATTTCATCCTCAGTCGCATAGACTAACAGATGCGAATTCATTTCACAAGGATATGCTGCAATTTGAACTTTTCCTCCAAAGTGATTACCATTTATTCCATGACCAGTATCACCATTATAATCATTAATTTTTCCAGGAAGATTTCTTAAATAGAAAACTGATTTTAGAATGATAACTAAAGAAAACCAAAGAAGACTAGATGGCATTTTCAGCTTGTTTTTAAACCTCTTAGAATTTCTCAATTACTACCTGTATAACATGCACTTCAAGAAATTTCATGTTTTGTGATGAATACCTTACTATTCAGTCAATGCATAGGGATATCTTTTTCCATATTTTCAACGTAAGGAAGTTCTACATACCTGATGCTATTCACCAAAGATAAGCAGGTAAACCAAATTTACCTAGAACTTGACACATTAGTCCATTAGTTCAAGATGTTACACTTTACAGCATTATTCAGAGAACAAGAAGATGAAAAAAGACTGACATCAAAATAGAAAAAAGTGTATGGGACAATATACAGTTTGGAGTTAAAGATTACTTAGTATATTCAAGCTCTAGAGGACATCAAAGAGTGCGTGTATCTGCGTCATTATGATCGATTTTCAGCCATGTCATCAAACGTAGGTTTCCGACCCTTCATTTCTATGATCTCGCGGACCCCAACTAGACAGTCTACATCTCCCTACATAGCTCAGACTAGGACTCACAGATTCCATGGACTGGTGCTACATTTTAGTCTGGTCACTCCGAACCCTTTACCAAGCTAATCCAACTTCTTCTAGAAAGACACGTCGAGGTAGGCGGCCTTTCGACATGCACAGTGCATATACAAGTCATCTTAGCTGACTAAGGTTCATAACCTCATCAATCGACTTGCCTATTTTGCCTGATACCCTTAGTCTGACCTCAGCACTGCTCACATGGTGATTCCATAGGACGTGAACAACGCTGCGAAGCCACTTGTGGTCCAAGCCATCTAACCACTTAATATCTTTCACTTTCATTGGTCACGGGTTGCAGTCGTATACAGGACGGGTCGAACTGCTATGCATTATACTCATCATTTGGTAGGTAGTTGGATATCTCGCCATTTGGTGCCACACCTGGCTCTAAATGTCAATGATAAGCAGTCGTCTTCACTTTCGACTACGGTGAGCTTGTACATACATGTATTTCTCTTGTTTTCGAAAAAATTGACTCATCAAGGAGTAGGAAATATAGACCATTGGATTCCGACCCAGTGGCTCAATGGTAACGTGCTGTCCACACAACCTGGAGGTCATGGGTTCAGTCCCTGGTTGGGTCATGGGCGCGTACTGTTGAGGAGTCCCATGCTAGGATGAAACGACTCTCCAGTGCTTCTCCAACTGATGTCAGTCTATGATGAATAGCAATCAGAAATCTTATATATGATGAATGAAATTACAAGTGAAAATTCCCACTTTAACGTAGTAGGTTTCTTAAGTTAATTTGGTTTCTTTTTTATACATTGGATTGGATCCATTCTAAATAATGCCAGTAACAATAAGTTAACGAGAGATAGAAACAAAGAAGCAGGCTAATTAATCATTCAGATTGCACTGCATCGCTTCATTTAACTGGGTAGTTCATTAGCTAATACTAACAATAGTATTCATCAGGGACTGTAATCAGTTTGATAATCATTGGAAACCTGAGAACACTGGTTTCGTTCCAGTATGATATTCCTCAACAATACGCAACCAGCACCCCACCAGCTATCGAACTCATGACATTCAAGTCTCTCAACTAGTACATTAGTCGTCCAGCGCCAACCCTGTCTCAAAGGTCTGCAGTTTCCTACTTCTGTCAACTCACTATACTGAGTGACTATCCACCAAGGTTTTCAATTGGCATCCACTTTACTTCCGACTGGTTGACCGCACATATCGTGGCTTCGCATTAGAACTTCATGATATCCATCTAGAGGCATTTCACTAATGAGAACTATACAGTAAAGTATTTTTGAGATGAATGCGGGGATTTTAGGTTTAAGTTAGCAGGTTTTCAATGATTTTCCAACTGATGTGAGTCCATGCTCAACACTACCTTGAGAATGAAATCCTCATTAACCTCAAAAATGCATCATTAATTAATACTTGAAATATTCCGAGAGTGAAAGAACAAATAAGAGGCTGTGAACGTGTGTTGGACTTAAGTTTCATTACTTTGTGAGTAATCATGTAAATTAATTGGTCAGAATGATTGCAGCATGATAGCCAAAATAAAAATGTCGAGTGGATAACACTTCAGCCGTATCAGACTTCATGCATCCTCACAATTGTCAGGGTATTTATAAACTCATTCAGTGATATTTAAGTGTCATATGCATGGCTGGAGATGACAAACAGTAAAGTTTTGAATTTTGATATTATTGATAGATAGTGGCTAGCAGTGGAATCTAGGACTCACACTTCGTCCTATTTGGCACTTGTCAGCTGGATGTACCTGTCTTCTAGTGAATTATATTGTCCCCATTAAGACTCGAACTCATGACCAACAGGTTCAAACCCTAGAACGTTACCCAATCGGCTACCGAGTCACGATGGTCACTTCTTGTACAACAGGTATAGTTTATATGATGTTGTTTGTGTTATTCCATCCTTGATTGCACCGAATCGATTGGTCTATATTTAGACTATAGATTTCTATGAGGATGCCTCGATATAACTTGTATTTTCAACTTTAGTATTAATGATGGGTCGTAACTCAGTGGCGTAGGGGATAACACTTTAGCGTTTGAAGCGGTCGGTCCTGGTCTGAGTTTTAGTGGGAACAACATCATTCAGTGGAAGGCAAATAAGACGAAACGCGCACCCTAGTTTCCACTACTAGCCGCTATTTATCACTAATATCTTCACTGATTAGTCAGTAAGTGGTTAGTTGTACTGCGAATAAAGCAATGAAAAGGTCTAAGACTGTGATGTTAAGTGAGACAGGCTCTTATGTTAAAAGGCTTATAGGCTTCAAAATTACTGAAGAAAAGACTTGTTGATGGATTACAAAAAGAAAACCTTACTTATATGGTGTTGCTCATGTTATCCCAAAGCTGACTTGATCGACTCGAACGGCCTCTATTGACATATGGGCTCCCGTGCGCATAACTCGATATTACCTGCATTTTCACTTTTGGTATTATTGATGGATGGTGGCTAACAGTGGAATCTATGACTCACGTCTAATTTTTTTTGGGATATACTTACCACTCAGTGAGCGATATTGTTCCCATTCAGATTCAAATCCGAGACTGATCGCTTCAAACACCAAAGCGTTATCCATTAGACTAATGGTGCACATCTCATTTATAACAATGCCATTTCATCATATCAAGATAATATGTAGTTACCTTAAGAAGTAAGACTGTTCCATAAGTATTATCACTTTCTTTCGTTAATCAAGGATAATTAAAACGTTTTCTTGTAAACAAAAATAACTTGTACACTTTCTGGTCACATTAATATTAAGTAATAACACCGAAAAAAATCAGAGACTAATATTTGTTCTGTTTCATTTGAAGTTGTAACAAAGAATGCACATCTTTGTTTTCAAATGGAGATAAAAGTTATCACATCTGTAAATAAGGTAGAAATGTAATACAAAGAATCAGGTTACTTTACATCAAAATTATAGAAGATAAAAAGTAACATTCTTTCTAAATTAGTTAATCTGATTGGAAAAAAAGTCCAACACTTCATTAAGCATCTAAAAAAAGCAGTTTAGCAGTCTTTATTTATGATTCAGTCATTCGGTTGATTAACCATGCAAACAGGTAGACAGTTAAGGCTAATTTCATTGCTTACCCCTGAACCAAAATGCTTATAGTTAGTGAGTTAGTTAGTTACTAGGATGCGTTCTTTGTATCTAATGCATAATAGTATATTACTTCATGAATTTATTTCTGTTACAAGCGAATTAGTAAATATGAGTATGTGTGTCCAGTTATTTGGGCCACTAAAAGTTAAACTTGATGCACAGTTATACTTTCCTCAGTTTTTTCTCCTCAATTTTATTTACTCTTTTATCTACTTACTAAAATAGTTAAAAGACCACCGTAATTTGCTTCTTGATAGAAAATATTTTTCTTCAGAGAAATGTTGTGGTTTTTTGACTACACACTTAAAGTGATGATTGGGTATAGATTATTCACACATACTAAAAGAATTTCAACTTTCAGGCTTATCATCTAAACGCTTTTTTTAATCATTATCTGTAATTCTAACGAAGAATATGGGTCAATTCTTACTCCGAGATCTAGAAAACACTAAAAAAACATTACAGAATATGGTTAAGTTTCACAGAACTGTCTCAGGACTTATTGACGTATGAAAACGGGATAAAAACAGATAGTATCAGTTTGACTATCTGAGATAGCTGGGGTTTGGCAGACTTATTCAATACTGGGTGATGACTGAAAGTGAAAATCTGGGACACATCAGGGTCCCAAGTGAAGTTAGAGTATGATCAATAGTTTAGTTTCTTAATTCAATTGGTAAGGAAATAAAACGGCTGCTAGTGTGAGGCTCAGATTTTCATTTCATCTTCACTCCATCTCCAGTATAAAAAAGACGCTGTTAGAAGAGATCGAGAGAAACAAAGTAGACTCTGAAGACATGTATCATTTCTGAGATGATTTTTTAGAGAATCACAGTACGGAGTAATTTCTAAGAATTTATAAGCATCATGAATAATAGTTCTAAGCTAAGCAGAAAAGTGACAACTTTTGCATATTGTCATAGCTGGAAAAGTTCTCATTTATGTTTCTAATAAGATATTTATTGAAATTATTAAGCCAATTTTAACTTTTATGGGGATTTATTCATTGATTCTAGGTTCATATTAATCATGGACTGACATTAATTGTAGAAACACTGCAAACCTGAGAGCATTGGAGAACTGTCTTGACCTAATACGGGACTCATCAGCAATTCCCACACACGACCCCTCCTCTCTTGAATCTTTAGGTTCCGCCGCTACCACGTTATACTTGAGCCACTGGGTCGTAAACCTGTGGTTCATATTTCCCATTCCTATGAGTTCACGATATAGCGTGACCTTTAACCGATACCGTCACTGAGTAGCTGTCATCATGTTCAACTTGGTTGGCTTCATTAGTCACAACTTCTCATTGAAACTTTGCGAATCATCTGTCAAATGTAGTCACCAATGAGCACTAGATTAATCC